GAGAATTTTTGCTGTACCTTTTTTGTAGACCTGTATCTCCTATAGAAAGCTATTTAGACTCCAGCATATAATTTAGGCCTCAATCCCGCAAAAACTCAAACACACTTCATTTGAGCAGTTCAGTGGGATTACTCACTTGCTTACTAATAAGCACGCAAGTGAGGTTGTGGGATTGAAACCTAAATTATGAAAAAAATATGAAAAAAAGTCATGAAAAAAGTCATAGCTCAGCTACAGAAAGGGGGTTTCCATAAACATTATTTCTGCCACATAGCTCAAAGTTACACATAATTCTGTATTCTATAGTTTCTTCTTTTTCTGGGTCCCAATTTAAGAACATAGCATGATCCAGCTCTCCAGGGAAGGAAGATGGGTCAGTTTTGCAATTATAGATAAGTAATTCCTTTCTAAAGTACAGAAGACATACATATCCTGCCACTGGCTCCATCAGCAATTTGTAAGGGAGGGGAAACAATAAATTGTTTTTCCCCCTATTTCCCTCACCTCCACATAGTGAATAAGGTGCCAGGTTATAAGCTAAATAAGGGTAAAGTTGCTATAGACATGAGAAGGGACGGGCCAGGTTAATGGTTGCCATGGACAGGACTGATAGGACAGGGCTGTTTAGAGGCACTCCTTGATAGTTCAGCTCTGCCTCCTGGTCAGATTACTCCATGTTTCTTTTTCAAGGACAAGAATGCTGACTGGTACTACTTTCTCCTAGTATGAAACGAAGATGCTCACTGAGAAGTTAGTGGGTAGGGAGGGCTGTGCTTTTTACACTGGGTAGCCAGCCTAGGAGAAGGAAAGCATTTGATATACAGGTTCAAGTCTCATGAAACTGATTAAGTTGGGGTTGTGCCCACTTCCCTTTTTGAGAATAATAGCAGAGCTTGTTTATGGATTCCCTCTTGCCCATGAAAGGCTTGTATGGTTTGCATCCTGCCTGGGGTATCATTTAGGTGGGAAAAGATTCCAATTTCTGACTAGGAAGTTGTGGCCTTCTCTCTTGCTACCATGATTCATTCCTTTGTCTCCACACAACTGGATTGCTGCAATGCACTCTATTGGGAGCTACATCTTAAATTCATTTGGAAACTAAGACTGGGCTGGTGCATTCTCTACCATTTGTTAAGCAAGGTTTTTCACCATGAACTTGTTATTAAAAAGGGCACCGTAATTTGCATTGGCTGTCTGCAGGTTTCCAGGTGGAATTTAAGTTGATGGTTATGGCCTACGGTATAAAGCCCATAATGGCCTTGGGCACACCTTCTTAAGAGACTATCTTTTCCTGTGCCAGAATGACACAGTTAAACCAGCAGAGGTACGCAAGTCAGACTCCCTTAATATAAAGGGAAGAAGACGCTAGCATGATGGACCCATAAATTCAGAATCTGCTCCAAAACAGCCCATATTTGTTGATTTTCATAGCATAATGCAAAATACACCTTTTTACATAGTGTTTTGGGTAGGGAGTTTTGCAGTGTTGCTTAAGACAATATTTAGCAGATGTAATGTCTCAATTTTCCACTGCTAAGTTTAGTTATTGCTTTACACAGAGTTTGCTCCTGGATTCATCTTTAAGTTTTAAAAAATTTGGAAGGGCAATGGGCACCTAGGATAAAGTGCCTTTTTATTGTTTTGTTCTCATAAAAGCAGAATAAAATACTCACATTAAGACCTTGTTCCATACCACTGCAAAGTGGTAGACTTAATTTCTCAGAAACCTCCAAATAGCTAGATTGCAAAGAAGGATATTTCAAAAGCTTAGGGTCATTAAGGGAAATGCACCAACTTTTTTAAAAGGTACATTGTGAAAATTATATTCCTTGTATTAGAAGCTGAATATAAGAATTTCTGGATTTGCAGAATGATTCACGTTACAAGTTAGTAGTAAAAATCAGCAATTATGTTTAACATTTTTTTTTCTGCAACATGCTAGTTTTCCACATTTTTGAACTAGCAAGTTCAGAGGCATACGGAAGGTTGTTTTAAGATGTACATGTAAAAATAGAATTTTTTGTTACATTTTTAGAATGGCATAAATCCCATGACAGGAGTTTTTATTTTTCCATATCAGTGGGAGTAGGTAATTCTGAAACTGAAACACAAAAATGGCAGACAGTTACTGAATATTCTGCTACTATAAGAATATATTCTCTATTAAGTGAGAAGTGCACCTTGAAATGGAACTTTCCTCTCTTTAGATAGCTGCACAAAGATGAACACAAGGGGCATATAAAGCAGCGATTTTGAAACTGTGTTTTACAAGTTACATATTTTTAAATTACATAAATTCAGTTGGACCTGAAGTTTTGTAGGAAAGCCCTGCTTCCTTCAAGAGACCGACTCAGCAGCATCAGCTATTTGTTCCAGCTCTCAAATTCCACTAGTTCCAGATTCTGAGGGTAGAGACAGGCTTGCTTGGAAGGTGTGGAAAGAAAGGTAAGTGGATAGGGAGTCTGCCATATTCAAAATGAGCCAAGCAGTTAACAATGTTGCCACCTCACAAATAATGTGATTTTGGACCCTACTGCAACTGGTCTTGGGAAGACTGCAAAAGTTTCAGCCTTCACATTATTTCATGACACTCAGGTGGAACAGTTTCATACTTTTATATCCCGATCCCCACAGACAACTTTCACAGGAGCATAGATATATTAGCTATGTTGCCTAGCTACTAACACCACACACTACTCTTAGACCCAAGTAAAAAAGACCAAGAATCCTGACACCCAGAGTGTCAGGATCCTGACACGGGCAGTTGGGACCAAGAGTCAAAGCAGGGTGAAACCTAAGGCCAAGCGTAGCAGAAAAGTTTGTAGTCATGTTCCAACCTGGGATCAATACCAAGGATCAGAGTCCAAGTTAGAAACAGAGGTCCAAATCAAACTTAGGTCAGAGCCCAGAGTTCAAGAGCAGAAAGCAGGAATGGATATGGCAACTACAGGACACTTACGCTGTTGACTAGACTCTTCCTGGAACACCCTTTGGGTTTATATAGGGCGGGGAGCCAATCAGGAGCCATGAGGTTACTTACTGTCTGTCAGACCCCTTGATGAGGAACTTCCCGTAGACTGTGTCCACAGCAGGTCGTGGGTAATGGAGCAAGAGTTGGCTACTGCTGCTAATGGATGGCAGAGTGGAGGTGTTTGTTGCAGGCTCGAGTTTGAGACTCACAATGCCTTACACCAGAGGTGGACAAACTATGGCCCGCAGGCTCCTCCTGCCCAGCCCCTGAGCTCCTGGCCCAGGAGGCTAGCCCCCGGCCCCTCCCCCACTGTTCCCCACTCCCCACAGCCTCAGCTCACTGTGCCACCAGCGCAATGCTCTGGGTGGCGGGGCCGTGATCTCCTGGGGCAGCGCAACTGCAGAGCCCGGCCTGGGTGGTCAAGGGGCGCGGGTCTGGATAGTGGTCAGGGCGGTCAGAGGGTGGCGAACAGGGGTTGAATGGGGGCAGGGGGCAGTCAGGGGCAAGGGCTCTGGGGGCAGTCAGGGGACAGGGAGAAGGGGAGGTTTGATGGGGCAGAGGTCAGGGGGGCAGTCAGGGAACTGGGGGGTTGGATGGGGCAGGAGATCGGGGGGGCGTAGGGGGGCGAGAAGCAGGGGGTGTTGGATAGAGGGCAGGGCCAGGCCATGCCTGGCTGTTTGGGGAGGCACAGCCTGCCCTCCATACAATTTTCAAAACCCAATGTGGCCCTCAGGCCAAAAAGTTTGCCCGCCCCTGCCTTACACAGAGTATACTGCTGTGTCACAAATACAGTTGAGTGAATAATTAATTTTTTGGTTTTGTAGCTGAACCAAAAAAAATCCAAAAAAGAATCCAGCTCATTTTGAACAGACTCTTGAACTTTTTTTTTTGACTGAAACTAAATGCATTTTTCAGTGTATTTACTATTTGCCAAAAAATTGTTGCAAACACATTTAACCCACTGGCAAAACATGTCTCCTTGTTAAGCTCTAGTCCACATAAAGACCAGTAGTATGCTTACTTCCACATCAGCTAAAAGAGTAACTGTTGGAAAGAGGTTTGTGCTGTGGATCTGACAGCTCGGTGTTCAAACTCTGCTGACCATCCACCACGTGGGAGTGGGAAAAATATACATATCATATAAAAAGTTAATGTAAAAACCCCACAGTAGTTGCTGGAATTATTTCATATTGCAAAACGTATTTAGTAATGAAATTGAATGTTGTGATACAACAGTAATATGAGTAGTATTTTTACTATTTGTGTTTTAGTTAATTGGAGCTATCCTTTTAAGAATAGGGTGTGGCACTATTCTAGAGCATAATTGAGATGCAAAGCACTGTGAGAGACATTTTGCCTATGTCCAGAGAATGGAAGATTCTGCGTTTGTAAGCTCCAAGAAGTTCAGATTGTGATTTAATAAACTTGCTTTTCCAAACAGCAAGTCTCAAAGATGTAATGCTTATGAGGGACTGGATGCCTCTATGTATTACTAATGAGGATCCTGCAACAGGGACCAAAAATCACATTTTGTAATCGATAAATTTGTGACAGTTGACAAGACTAGCTGTCTCCTACATGTTGGGGGTGAGTAGAAGGAATTTAAAAAAATAATCAAACCAAAAACATGATTTAAAGCCTTTTAAAAGCGTTTTGTGATTTTTGAGGGATCTGACTTTTTTTTTTAATCTTTTGTTGTTGGCAATACTGAGTTAAAGTTTCTTTTGCTACAGTAAGTCAGTGGAGAGTGATGGGCATGAGGATTAGGAAGCAAGTAATGAACAAGCGATCAAGGATTGCAGGACAAATATAAGATTGAATCAAAGGTCAGGGGCTTGAGGGACAGGATGTGGGGGGAAAAGAAAAAAACTACACAAATCGTGGACTTATTTCAGTTATTTGCTTGTATGATGGCATCCCTTCCCCATCTGTTATATTTCTAAAACACCCAGCACATGTTTGGGCATTATAAAACAATTTTTTTAAACACACAAAATGGCAGCTATCAAAATTTTGAAATATTACTAACGTCCATGTTTCTGTGACTGTTCCATACTCTTGCATTTCCAAAGGGAGAGTAGGCAACTAGGTGCCCATACAGCAGTTTGAGATGGCCATCTTCATACTAAAATAGGAAATGAGGAAGTGAAACTACTTACAAGGAAAGAACTGTCAGATGTACAGGGAAAGGGGAAAAGAAAATCCCTGATATTGTCATTTTAATAATATAGGCATTACTCATAATAAAGAGTAAAAATATATATATATCTTTCTGCCAGAAGCATGAATTTTGTTGACAGCATCTCTAAGTTGCTGTTTTTTTTAATAAAGGGAAACAAAAATCTAAAGGAAGTTGGCATAAAGACTCAGTTCCAGAATCATTTACCTGAACTACAAGACTTCAAGAATGGGTTACTCCCACAATATTACAGTTGTGGTAACCCAAGACTTGTCCTGCCACCAACAAGAAACAGACTGATTCACATAGATAGTTCTCCTTTCCGTGCAGTGGAGTTGTGAGAGAGTGCAGGAAGGACGTATCTACTCACTACAGAGTGGTGGCAGCAAGGGTGTTTCTTTGAAACACCTATATGACGTTCATTTATTTTGTATAATCAGCTCTATTATAATATTTAAATTAAATTCCATTTAGACAATAGTTTTATTTAGTGTAGTTTATGAGTAGCTACTATAGAGCAATTACAAAACTACTCAGTTTACACAAAGAATTATCAAATCAGTATATTAGTTTTTAAATAAGAAATACAGTGCTAAACTTTGCTTAATATATTTAGCATCACTGCTGGAGTGATAGAAAACTGTCAATGGATGGGTAAATTATAGCATATACAGTAGGTATCAGACATTGTATGATAACTAACCTATACACTTGAGTTTGGAATTAAATATTTAAACACATCTGCCTTTTAAGTTTTATTTTCCAGTTCTGAGAGCAATTGAAATTTGTTCATGTATACATATATCTTTATATAATTAGGGTAGAGGTCATTTTAGTGATTAAGACAATTATTTTGGGATTCAAACTACGGTACTTCAGCTAGCATGACAACTAGAATCTGGAATGCAGTAGGTGGAACTAGAACTCTGATTCACACAGCATATAACTTTAATAAAAAACAGTGAGGCACAACAATCATAACACAAGAAATAAACTGCTGAAGTCTTTACACCTAGATGATTTAAGATCTTGCCAACAAAATGAAAATGATGTCAGGTGGAGCTTTGCAAAGTCACAGCTCTGCAAATTACTTATTCCCATCTTCCTAATAGCATAGAGAGAGTAGTCACTATGCTAATCTGTAGTAATATAACACAACTATCAAGATTTAACAGTTTGTCTTTTTAAAAGTCACTTCTGTGATCCATTCTCATCCTAAGAAGCTATAAGGCTATGAAAAATTACAGCAAGGCATGAACAATAACCCAATTCTCTCGTTACATTTTTCATATTGCAAAGGAAACTGGGGGGTGGGGTTGGGGGGAGGCCTGGTCTACACTGGGGGGTGTGGGGGGGGGGGAGAGAGAATCAATCTAAGTTACTCAACTTCAGCTACGTGAATAACATAGCTGAAGTCGACATACTTAGATTGACTTACCGTAGTGTCTTCACCGCGGTGAGTCGACTGCTGCCACTCCCCCATTGACTCTGCCTGCGCCTCTCGCCGAGCTGGAGTACAGGAGTCAACAGGCGCGTGCTCAGGGATCGATTTATCGTGTCTAGACTAGACGTGATAAATCGATCCCTGCTGGATCGATCGCTGCCCGACGATCTGGCCAGTAGTGAAGACATACCCGAAGTGACATCAGGTAAAGGAGACACAATTAATTCCCTTTGATCTTTCAAGTTACAATCATTTTAGGTGTTACAACAGTAGGAAAAGTGTTTCAGATAGTAATGGCACGGATTTGACTGTGTCCCTTTAAACACTGATTTTTTCAGTAGAAGTATCAAGATTATAAAATAAATTAGACCCATCTATTTTCACAGATCCTTTTAAATCCATTATAATCTGACAAGAGACTAAAAGTAGTGAAATTGGGTTCTGTGTTTACTATCCTAATAGCTTTAGATGGCAAGCTCTTCAGGACAAAGAATGTCTCTTTTCTGTTCCGAAAGGATCTAACACATTGGTGGGTAGTATCAAAAATATTAAATAATTTCCATATCAATTTTATTAGCTTGTAGGAAAAAAAACTCCCTCCCCTCTTTTATTGTCAATTCTACCTAGGATCTAAGAGTCAAACTTTGTTCTGACACATACATCCTCCTCAGTAAGAGAAACTATGTAAAAATGGCACCTTTTCACTTAAAGCAACTATTCCTTGCATATGGAGGGTAAGTATTTTGATCCATATTAACTTTATTTTCTAATAAATAAGATATTTATTGATATTAGCACTGCAGAACCAACAGTATGGGAAAGAGATCTTGGATTTTGTTATGCCTTATATCAGCAGAATAGTTATTCATGTTCCAATTGAAAAAAAATCTCTTGTCTGATCACAAACTGCACTATGTCCCTGATTCAGGAAAACATCCTTATTTACAAAAGAGCTTGAAGATATGCCAAATCCCACTGAAAACAATGGGATATAAGCATATGTTCAAAGTTAAGCACTTGCCCAAATGCTTCCCTGAATTTGAGCATAGAAGACCAACTCGTAACCCATTCAAAAATGGTATTTTCCAGTTTCATAGCACCGGTTGTTAAAAAACTAACCTAAATGTAAAAAGGTTGGATAAAAAAAACCTGACAATTTTTTAAAAAATCTTTTTTTTTAATTCAAATTAAATTTTTGATTGTTATTTAAATTATGTTTTTCTTTTCAAATATAGATTCATTTAAAACGAAACCTGATTTTAGTACAAAATATGTTAAGGCTTAAACTTATTATAATCTCTTAAAACATTTACATAAAAAAATAAATATGCTGACTTCATGAGCCTCTATCAAAAACTGAATTAGAGAGGCTACTTTTCTAGATAAAGAAAGCCACCTAACTTTTGAAGTCAAGCTTTATAAATATGGCACAACAGGTCATGTATTGTATTAAGGACATGATCCTGTGGGAAATCCAGGGGCTGTGCTACTGATTCCGTGACCTCCATGACTTCTGCAAGAGCCCTGTGCAGCTGGCCCAGGAGCCGCCTTAGAAGCTCGAGAAATCCCCCGGGTCAGTAACACTGGCTACTGCTGGGGCAGTCTCAGGATCCCCCCCCAGCCCCCAGCAGCAGGAGTTTAGGGGGGATGGGGGGCTCAGGGCTTGGGCAACTACTTACCTGGGGGGGGGCACTCCTCTCCTTCAGCTCCCCTAGCTCCACCTGCTGCCTCTGCCAGCAGCCAAGCACCGCTTCCGCAGCTCCCATTGGCCACAGTTCCCAGCCAATGGGAGCTGCAGAACTGGGGCTTCAGGCAGAGCAGAGGCAGCACATGGAGCTAGGGCCTCCGCTTCCCAGGAGCTAGGTATGGAGCCCGCCCCAGCACCCGTGGCGCGCCCCAAGTCTCTCCCCCCCCATTTTAGTCATGGCTATTTTTAGTAAAAATAAATCATGGGCCTGTGAATTTTGTTTACTGCCAGTGACCTGTCCATGACTTTTACTAAAAATACCTGTGACTAAAATGTAGCCTTAGTCATGACAGACATCGGGGCCCAGTCTCTGACTCCAGGAGACACCATCATGTATCTCATCTGGGTAGTCTCATATTCCTACTTTACATCGTTTCCCTACCTGAGCTCTGATCATCCCAAATGATGAATATTTTTGATTCCACCCAGCATGGAAATGTAAACGCCAACTCATGGAAAAACACCGATCTGCCCTGTAACTATAAGCACTTGCTTCTGGACGGTTCTGGGCACTTAAGGAAATGGCCTTGCTTTGTCTCCTTGCAGAGATACAAACAAACAGAAACCCATTAATTTCTCAACTGCCTCCCCTCTCTGTCTCTAAACAAATAAAATACTGCAGTGCAAAAGGCATGAGAATTACACAAGCAGAAGTCTTGGATTGCTGTTAGCTTTTTTGTTTTTCTGGAGGTGAGGTTAGGTGGAGTTATATAATAAGGGAGAAAGAGCAGAGTGTGAAACCAGAAATGAGCAACACTGATGTCAAAGCAGGACACTGTAGGAAAACTGGCCTATTCTTCAGAGTCCAACCTTTAGTGTTGATTTCAACACCTGGGAACTGGTGGGAAAAAACTGCCATGGCTGCAGGTCATAAAAAAGATCCAATCTGGGATATTTTCAAGAAATTCATGTACCTCTGGGTAAAAAGGGAATGTGTGCCAAATTTAACCAGTGCAACAAAGAGATGCAAGCCTGGTTGTCAGAATGAAACAATATTATGAAAAATGCTCTTTAGAAGGCAATAACTTTGAAGATGATGACGACGACGACGTGTCTGAACAATCTGGATCAACTGGTTAGTAAACTTATTTTTACTATTATTGCTGGATTTCTGAAATTATTTTTTATTGCTTAATACACCGCTCCCTCAACATAACGTGAGCCGATAGAACACAAATTCGGATATAACGCGGTAAAGCAGTGCTCCGGGGGAGCGGGGCTGCGCACTCCGGTGGATCAAAGCAAGTTCAATATAACGCGGTTTCACCTATAACGCAATAAGATTTTTTGGCTCCTGAGGACAGCATTATATCGAGGTAGAGGTGTATAATCAAACATGCTAGGTGAAGACTTCCTGTTTAAAAATAAAGCGTTATTAGCTATTTATGAATTGTAACATTTTTTAAAAGTTTTTTTCCCCCCAAGCTGTTTGGTATGTTGCTAAACATCAGGTTTAAAATAGATTTAGATAATCTTTATGATTTATTATTTTCCCTATAAAACTGAGTTTAGCAGTAAAAATTATAACAAACTGAACAAAAATTCAAGTTTCAAGCACTTAGCTTTGTCACACAAAATGCTGCAAATGTAGCAAAGATAAGAAGAAATCTAGAAGAAGATAACGAAGGGAACCTGAAACTAATAACAAACGGTTGCAGTGCTCATTTAGCCAAAGGATTAAGTACAACTCCAAAAATAAAGGGAAAATGTTGTTGAAATTGGAAAATACTTTAACAACCACTTTGCTTCAGCTTC